AATAGCAAAAGCTTGGAAACAGCCCAAGTGCCCATCAACTGGAAACTGGATAAAGAAGATGTGGCTTTTTTTTTTTTTTGATACCAGGGATCAAACTTGGGTCCTTGCGCTTGCACAGCAGGCGGTGAAACCACTGAGCTAAATCCCTGGCTCCTGAGCTAAATCCCCAGCCCAAGATGTGTTTTTTTTTTTTTATAAAATGGAGTACTACTCAATCATAAAGAACGAGAAACTAGAGACATTTATAGCTAAATGGATGCATATTGAGGCCATGCTCTTAAGTGAAATAAATAGGACATAGTAAATAGCGAATTGTTTCTCTAGTGTGAGGAATTGAAAGTGTAATTAATGATACAGGTGAAATTGCCTAATGACATATTTCTTGGATTGTGTTTCCATTGCGTGTCGTATGACTGTATCGAAATTTAAATTAGGGAGAAGCTTGGCTTATGTGGACTTTGCTAGCTAACTGGAGTTTTTTTCCAGACCACTATTTGTTGAGTGTTGGTTTTGGGGACCTTTCTGAAACTAATCACATCCTCTGGTGTCTTGTTGGTGCCTGAGATGCTTTTTTAAGTTACATGGAAAAATGTTTAAGTGCTTTTCAGTTTTGTTTTGGTTGAGTTCTACTGTATTTGAATATTATTGTAGTTTTTTTCCCCCTTGCATTGTTCTTCTTTGAATGGTTTTAATTTTTTGTATGTGTGTGTGTTTGATAATAAAGTTACTTAAAAAAACAAGGACCTATAAAACATCACTAGTTTTGATGCAGTCCGTCTTCGATGGGAACTTTGTTCCACCAGGCTGATGACCCTTCCTCTCCCCTGACCCCAGACAACCCCATCCCATCTGAGCACCCTAAACTGGGCCAGTGCCCCGCTCTGGGAGCCAGGCAGGGGATCAGGGCTCTGACTCCTGCTTTCTGCGAGCGCAGACTCGGACCCGGCTGGCTCTGCCTGGGGTGAGGTGAGCAGCGTGGGCTGCAGCAGAGTCCTGGGGCCCTGGCGCTTGTTTGCAAGATATTCGGGCTGGACAGAGGGAGCTGCAGGGAGGTGGTCAGGTGGTCATGGGAGGAAGAGCAACCCCTGCGCCCCTCTCCTAGCTCTGCAGCTGCCTGGAGACCCGCTCTGGGGAGAGGACTTGGAACCAACAGCAGCTCCTGGCTGCCTCCTGGTTAGCGGCCGCTCCTCACGGCCTCAGGGCTCCTGTGTGCTGCCCTGGGGCCAGAGCCACAGGAAGGGGAGACACTGAGCCCTGGAAGGGCCGAGCGTGGCGGGGCTGAGCCTGCCAGGTCTCCAAGTCAGAGCGGCCTCTCGGGGCCGGGCTTCACACAGGCCAGTGCTGACCCGGTCTGCCTGTTTTTTCCAGTTCCTGGGTCCCGGGCTCCATTTCCGCTTCTCCAGGAGGCCCTGTCTCAGGGAGCCACGTGCTGGAATCGCAGCGGCGCCCGAGGGTCACACTTTCTGTTGGTGGCAGCCTCTTCCACGTGACAGTTATGGAGAGTCCCCTGCCCTGTGACTCCTGACCGCGACCCTGAGAATGTCAGGGCAGCACGGTGAGAAGGGAGGGCTCATCCACTGTCAGGGGACTGAGTGTCGGTGCCCAGGCCAGCGGCCGCCACAGGTGAGGGACAGCGAGAGAACCACGTCCCCTCCCGAACCTTCAGAGGCTCATGTGTTCCTGCTGTTTGGTTTTCTGAAACAGGGCCTTGAACTCATGGTGATCCTCCTGCCTCAGCCTCCTGTGCTGGGATCACAGGTGAGTGTCACACATCTGGTGCTGTTTGTGCCACTGGGACGGTCTCTAAGGAGGCAAACTTCACGTCCCACATGGCTTGCAGAAGAACCTGGCGTCTTCTCCCCTTGGGGCTTCGATCCCACCCCACCCAGCGTCCACGGGTCGCCCTTCAGGGAGTCTCATCACAGAGCGTGCTGTAGCAGCCTGCGCACCCAGGCCCGCGCGTCCCCGCACCCTGCCTGCTGGTTGGACACAGAGCCCTGGTGGCCGGACCCCTCCTGGGAGGACACAGCTGTCTGCAGGCCGCAGGGGAGCGCTGGTGGCTGAGCCCTGGGGGACAGGCGTGTCCCCCACCTTTTCCCTGCTCAGCCACTGCAGGAGAGAAACCCTTCGGAGCACGGCGAGGAGGTTCCGCCCTGGAATTCCGGCCCTGGGCCTTCCCCTGGGCCGTGGCTCCAGCTGCCTCCCCTTCCCCTCGATGGCCGAGTGCCTGTTTCTCTCTTACCCCACTGCTCTCAGAGTGCGGGGCCGCCCACCTACAGCCCGAGGGGAGGTGAGGACTCCCCAGTGTTAGGCATACAGCTTTGCAATCCTTTCTTTCAAATTTGATTTCTTCCCTGTGAAATATTTTTCTGTTTCCAAAATAAAGCATTGATGGGTGTTTCTGTTCGAGTACAATTTCTAAATCTTTCAAAGGACATTCTACTTTTTTTTTCTTTGTGGTTTTTTGAGACAGGATCACACTATTCAGGCTGGCCTCCAACTTGAGGCTATCCTCCTGCCTCAGTTTCCCAAGTGCTGGGATTACAGGTGTGCACTACCACGCCCAGCTAAAGGCATTCAACGTTTAACCTTAGCACTAATGTGACCTAAAAATCTTTTTACTTTATGCCTACACAAGCCACCCAATGCTGAAGCGGGGACCCCTGGTTTAGAAAAGGAAAGAACAAATTGTATGGCAAAGTTCTTGGTAGAAAACAGCAAATGAAATCTTTGTTGATTTTTCTCTTACGTCTTCTACAGTGGTTTTATTTTTTTCCTTAAAAAGAGAAGAAAATGACCTACCTACACGTGTAATGCTATTTTCAGCGTTTGTGGATAGTCCAGAAGAGCCCTTTTTAGAGGAAGGGAAAGCGGTGTCGCTTGGGCCGAGGTCGGCTCTGCAGGCCGCCAGAGGCGGCTCCATGCGGAGGGGACAGGGCCCGGCGGGGCGGCAGGGCCCGCACTCGGTCTCGAGGTTCGCGCGAGCCGGACGCACACTTCACGGGCATGCACGACCCTGGCATGTGCACACAGACACGGCACACACGCGCATGCACGCACACGCCACCCCGCGCGCGCACGTGCGTGCGCATCAGCAGCGAAGCCCCACCCCAAGCTCGCAGTCCTTAGCCAGCGGGCGGCCCCACACAGAGCGGCCCTCTGAACAGGATCTAATGTTCTCCTGGCGTTCTGACTCCTTGAAAAGCATTTGTTTTCTTTCTTTCATCCATTTTTTTGGTTGTTTCTTTTTTCTGGTACGGGGATAGAACTCAGGACCTTCCGCTTCTGAGGTAGGCGCTGCGTCACTGAGCTAAATCCCCGGCTCTCGTTTTGGTTGTTTGAGACAGGATCTTGCTATGCAGCCAGGTTGGCCTTGCAGTCGCTGTGATCCTCCTGCCTCAGCCTCCCCAGTGCACCACCACGCCGCTGAATTTGAATTTCTGCTTGCCTAGCACACTGTTTCCATACTGTTTCTGAGGTGACCTTATGTGTTCAACTCTGTCCATCCTGAAGCCCCAGTACTTCACCTTTTCCCTGTTCTCCTTTTTCCCAGGGGTTGAACCTTCCCACTGGCCTTCCCACTGGGCAGCATCCCTAGTCCTTTTTTATTTTGAGGCAGGGACTTGTTAAATTGCTCACTGCTCAGTCAGGGCCCAATCTTGTGACCCTCCTGCCTCAGCCTCCCGAGTACTGGGATCACAGGTGTGCGCCACCACACCTGGCTTTTGATTTTCTTTTCAGTGTTCAGTGTTGAACCCAGGGCCTCAGACCTGCCAGGCCCGCACTGTACCACTGAGCTCTCCCCTCCTGGTCTTCCTCGCTCTGGAGCAGCCTCAGGCTTCGGGCGTCAGATGCTGCCCTGCTGTGGGTGGAGGGAATGTGGTGCCATAAAAGCCCATGGGTTGGCTCAGCACCAAGCTCCGCCTCAGCCGGCCGGAGCCACCTGCACCAACCCCGGGCCTCCTCGAGCCGCAAGCCCCTCCAAGCAGCCTGCACTGAGCACGACATCTCTGAAGCAGACCACGAATGGGAACCCACACACAGACGTCACGGAGCGGGACCTCGGCTCCTCTGCACTGGGATGGGGGCACCCCAAGGCTCAGGGGCGGGTTTGCACCAGCTGCCAATCTGTCTGCCTGGGTCACTGCGCACAGCAGCCCAGGGAGAGCTGGGCACCGGGCCGGGTTCCTCCAGGAAGCTGTGGGTGCCTCGCGGCCTCGACCCCGGGCAGAGTCTGCTCTGAGGGACCCAGGACACTGCCCTGCTGGGCCCTGGGCGGAGGCTCTGGTGTCACCCGCCGTCCTGGACCGAGGCCATCGCACGGGGCCACAGACAGACACACGAAGCCACTGGCACAACACAACCAGGACAGGAGCAGCACACGGAACGCGTCGGACACCAGGCCACAGAAGCTCGCCAGCCACAGGCCACGAAGCAGGACGGTGTCATCTCATGGCGGCAAAACCTACCTTCCACTGCTGAACTCAGTTTTATGACACCTTGAACAGAAACAGAAATCGCAGTTATACGGTGGGCCCAGCCATCTCCCCCAGCATCACAACACGCGCGCTTGGGGTCTGGGCCCGGTTTTAGAGCCTCACAGACATGGACTGCGCTGGTGAAAGCATTCTCCTGCCCTCCTGGGTGTCTTACTTTCCCACTGAAACCATCGGGGAAATCTCTCATTCAGGACGGGATCCATCGCGTGGATGTGAGGAAGAACCAGGCAGCTCGACTGTTTCTGTGTATAACTGCTGCCGTTCTGGGCAGCACCGAAGACCGAGCCCAGGGCCTTTGCCCGAGCTGTATCCCCAGTCCTTTTTCAATTTTTATTTTCATTTTGAGATATTTCTAAGTCACTACACTGCCCAGGCTGGGCTTGAACTTGCAGTCCTCCTGCCTCAGCCTCCCAGAGTGCCAGGATTACAGGCGCGCTGCACCTTGCTCCGCTTCATTATCTTTCACATGATCTACTCTTACTCTAGTTTCATCTCCACAGAAACTATTTTTATTAAATTTAAATCTCTTTCGGCGTCCATGCTGCATAAATCCCTGCACCACGAACGCCCCTCCCACTCCACTGTCACACAGGGCTGCGGCAGGTGACCAGCAAGTGAAGAATCTCACCGTTCCCTTCCGGGATGGAGCCAGGGCCTCAGACATGCAAAATCCCAGCCCACACCTTTGTTTTTAACAGAATTCAGTGAATTGTATGTTACATAATTCAATTTGTAACAGCGAGTGCTCAGACTTCCTGGAAATGTACGAGTGCCTCTCACAGGGAGCCGGGAACCAGCTGCAGGAGGGGACCGGTCCTTCCCGAAGGTGTCTGTCCTCTCAGGTGGGGAGGACAGTCCGGAGCCTGAGAGCCCTGTCTAAGGCGGTGGGCACCAGGATGAGACATAAGCACAGGCAGCATAAGCTCAGCGCGCACCACCGCGCCGGACACCTGGGGACCAAGTCCGCCCTGCCCTGTCACCATGACTGACACAAGTCTCCGGCGGCCAGCAAGAGGCACGGCCACACCCACCTGAGGACCTGGTCCTCACGGGCGGCCAAGCCGAGGCAGGGCCGGGTGGGCATTGACATGGGAAGCAGCGATGTGCCCTCTTTTCACTCCCGGAGGCCGGACTGTTAATTTCCCCAGCCGTATTTGTGGTCGGGCGTCACCCGGTGTCAGCGGATGTCTGGGAAAGGAGTGTGCCTCGAGGGGCCGGAGCAAGTGGCTGAGGCAGGGACGTCTTCAGGTGTCACACAGGGGACGGCGTCGGGGGAGTAGGGTCCCCAGAACGCGTTCACTGAGCCGGGGACAGGTCAGAACAGGAGCAATTGTCTGCTTGTAGGATTCTAATTGCAAACATGACTCTATTTCATTTTCTGAGACAGGATCTCACTACTGAGCACAGGCTGGCCTCGAACTCTGGGGGATCCTCCTGCCTCAGCCTCCTAAATGCTCCAAACATTATTTTAATCAAAGCATTAGTAATTCATTAGCTTCTTGTGGACATTTCTTATTTTCTTAAATCCCAGGTCAAACCTTTCTGTGCATAAGGTAGGCCTTTCTATTGCAAACTGACTATATTATGGTGGGATTGTAAATTTAGCTAAATGCAGTTATATAGCTAATAGGAACATTATACACAAAATCATAGAAAAGGGACCTTCATCTCACAGGGTGACTATTCAGAATTATCTTACTGTTTAAGCAGTGATGGGTGTTGTTCAAAGGCGACACACAGCGCTGCTGACTTCCAGGACACGGAGTAGACATTGTCACTGGGCACCGATGTGGACACTGCCTGGGGTTCCGAGCTTAGCCATGGCACACAGAGAGACACAGGACACATGAGGAGCCCATCCCCACTGCACTTGGAGTTCTCCAGGCCGCAGAGGTGTTTGGGAAGAAGCCAGGAAGGCAGACAGGGAGACCCGGCCAGGCCCTGCAGTCTGTGTGCGGGGCGGGGAGGCAGTCCGCGCTGGGGGAGCCTCTCTGTGAGCTTTATCTTCTTTCTTGCAAGTTAGACCCGGTCGGCAGCCAGGCGTGGGTTCTACAGCGCTTCTCCAGTGCTGAGAGGGTTCTGCTGCTTCTCCCTGGTGATCGATTTCTTTCTTTTTCTATTTCTTTTCTTTTCGGTCCTGGGAGTTGAACCTAGGCCTTCCAGGAGCCAAGCAAGTGCTCTACCCCCATCCACACCGCTGGCCACCAAGTTAATTTCAACTGATCTAAAAGGATCCACAGGACAAAGGGCCGGGTTAAATGATTCTTTTGGAAGAGTGAATGACTGGGGCTCCCTAAGGCCTTCAGGAATGCTGCTCTGCCGCTGAAATACCGAGCCCGATCTACCGCTGTCGGCAAGGCCCCGCAGGACACACCCCTCCCGGCCGCTCTGCTCCGATGCATCTCCCGGTCCCGGTCCCGACGCCTCCGGAGCGAGGCCCTCCCACGCCCCACACTCACCGGTCCAGCGCTTCCCGCTCGCGCACGTTACTGAGCAGCGGACCGCACTGTCACGAGCCCCAGCCGGGCCTTCCTCCAGAGACCGGCTGTCTAGGCGAGGGCCGGCAAACGCGGGGAGGGCGGAAGGGCCCGCGTCTCGGGCCTCGGGTCTGCAGGTCTCGGAGCAGCGAGTGTTCTCGACGCCAAGGAGGATGGCAGCGCTTGCCCTGCAGGTGGTCGCCAGCTGTGCACGGCTGCTCGGGGAGGCTGATTCTCTGCCTGTGACGCCGGGCTCGAACCCAGAGCCTGCGGCACGTTAGGCAAACCGATACCGGGGCTGCAGCCGGATCCCGACGTCCTGCCGATTCACTCCTGTGTGGAATGGCCCTCACCCGTTACAGTGTTTTTGAGACAGGGTCTCACCGTGTAGCCCAGGCTGGCCTCGACCTCATGGCCATCCTCCTGCCTCAGCCTCCCGAGTGCAGGCGTGCGCCACCACGCAGGGCCTCCGGGACCTGTTTTCTAACGGTTCCACCCCCTCCCCAGAGCACCACAGGCCGGCCCGAGCCGCTTCAGACCCGACGCACAGCAGCAGCACGGGCTGTGTCCAAGCGCGATACGTGGGTGCCCCGGGGTCGTTGCTGCGGCCGTCGCCCCTCCAGGCTCAGCCGTCAGCTCTCCGAGTCCCCAGATGCGGGAAAACAGGCGCCGCACGTGTGCGGTGCGCCTCCCGCAGCTCTGCAGCCTGGGGTTTGGGGCTTGTGGCCCCGGAGACCAGGGCCAGGGTCCCTCCAGTTAACGGTCCTCCCTCCCTGGGTGCACGAGAAGCCCCAGTCCTGCAGAGCGGGCGGCGGGTTAGGAGCCTGCGGAGGCAGAGCAGGCGACCTCGATCCTCATCCTCGGGCTCAGCGAAGGCGGACACCTGCGGCCGGCTGGGGCCTGATGCACGAGCGCGGGGAGGCGCAGAGGGCAGAGGGCCGAAGTCGGAGCCCTCCTGCACCTCGGGCTGCCGCGGGTTAGGGACACACGCGCCAGGCAGAGCCGGGCCAGGAAAGAGCCAGCAGCTGTGGAGGAGAAAGTACGCGCTTCGTTTTGCAAGAATTCCAGCTGTGAGCAGACGTTGCAAGGCGATTTTAGTGGCAGTCCAGAAAGGTTTCAGAGAAAGGATTTGCAAACATCTCCTTTTCCCTGAAAAAGAAGCTCTTCTTTTTATTAAAGGCTCCACCTTTGCACAGGGTGCTGAGGGCAGTCTGGTCAAGCGCGCTGTGATTCTTTGGTGACACTGTGTCGCCCTCTGGTGTCCGAGGGCCGTCATTACGCCACCACCCAGGTGCAGCCCATCCTGGCCTCCAACTCAGCGTGTTCCTCCTGCTTCTCCGAGTGCTGGGATCCTGGGCCTGGGCCACCACCGCTGGCTCACCAAGCCTGCTCGTGAGGTTAAAATACTGTCACAAATGTTACTGGCAAAAGCTTCTGAAGCCACGTGTTATAGTTTCATTTAGTTAAACAAAAAGCTTGGAGGAGGGTAGCTCCTGGTTGCTAGAAGCTGGGAGTTGGGAGGCCCAGGGAATAAACAGTACAGACAACAATTGCCACACAACGCCCTGCACCGTGGCTCATCTCCCTGGATTTATGGAAGTTCATAGAAAAATGTGACTCAAGGAGAAGCTATTGGGGGCATATCTACCCTTTTTTTGTTGTTTTGTTTTGCTTTTTTTTTTTTTTGGTACCAGGGATTGAACTTGGGACCCTGGGCTTGTGAGGCAGGCGGCGGAACTACTGAGCTAAATCCCCAGCCCTTGTTTTGCTTTTTGTTCTTGAACTCACTACGTATCTCACTCAGGCTGGTGGTGATCCTCCTGCCTCAGCCTCCTGAGTGCTGGGACTACAGGTGTGCGCTACCATGTCCAGCATGCTTTTTTCTTTTGCTGATCTGTCTGATGTAAGTTTAATTTGTCTTCCCCTGAAAACTGAAGCTAAGAGGGCAGAGGAAAAGGTTTTCTTCCCCGATTCTCACCTTTGTGCCTGACTGAATTCTGGATCCCACTGTGCTGGGCCTCCGCTCAGGTCTGCAGAGCCAGCTCGGGCCTGGGCAGGGATCTGAGGTGTACACAGCGCTGGCCAACGAGTCCCCATCACTTAGGCACTGAGGGTAGCGGTCAGCAGGCCAGCGTGTGCACTGCATCTCTGAACAGAGGTAGGAAGCAGGCTTAGAGCACTGTCTGGTGATGGTGGATATACATGGTACCCGAGGGCACGACTTTAGGACGAGACGGCCTGGCTGGCGTCAGGGCTTCGACCCTCCTGCTGGCTTCCTCACCTCTTCAAAGCTTTGCGCATGTGCTGATGGAAGGAAAAGGGATGCTCCTCAGAGAACAGGGCTCACTTTCGCATCGTTAGAACAGAGGATCCAGGTGAGGTGGTTTACTCTTTCCAAGTGCAAGCGGGGTGCAGGAAAACAGTAAAGCCAAAGCGCGCCACACTTCACACAAGGGGACGGGGAGGGGTGAGAGGTGAAAGGGGCTGTCGACCGCTGATCAGGCTGCCCGGAGCCTGGGAACG